TCTCTCTCTCTCTCTCTCTCTCTCTCTCTCTCTCGGATATAATTCTAAAAATACCGGATTTATGTTATTTCCAAATAATTTTATAAAAAGTGCAAAAAACTGAATTCCATTTTATTCATTGAATTTTTTACAAAATTTTATCTTAACCCTTTTTTTTTTTATTATGTAAATAATAATTATTACTTTTTATAAAATTTTAGTTTAATAATTACATAAAAATTAGATTAAACTAAAATGATTTGATAAATATATAGAATAAAAATAAGCTTAAGCAATTGCCAATTTGCTAATTAATAACTATTTTCATTATTAAAAATTAATAAACAATAATATAAAAATAGAAAAACATTTTCAATTAATATTCAATGATTTATAGTATAAATTGTATAAATTTTATACATTTTGAATGATAAACACATTTATAATAATCCTTGAGAATAAAACGCTAGAGAAAAACTATTATTTATTTTTACTCAATTTACAATATATTTCTGTATTTAAAGTCTGATAATTATTATTAAAATGTGTTTCAATTCACACCATTTGTACAGAAAATATTAGAGTAAATATAGTAAATCACATACTTCAAAATAGATACAAATATACCTATACTTAATGTGTGACACAAATCAATCCAAAATACGTACAAAACCTCTTAATATTCAGCTAAATGTCTTATAAACTAATCGTTTGCATAACAATAATAATAATTGTGAGCATATTATTGCTAAACACAGTCGTCGGCTATAATGAGTGTAATCGACGGCATATCGAGGACTCGGAGACGGTATGCGTCTGTAATGCCACACATTGTGACCAATTTCCGCCACTTTCGCGACCAAAAATCGGTTACATATCAGTGTTTGAGAGCAACCGAAACGGCGATCGTTTCAAAGAGTCGGCGCTTAAATTCAAGCCCTTTTACGGTAACATTAATTGCGTTAAAAATCATTGCCTAAAAAAGTCGGCCAAAGACTCGCAGCTGACTATAACGGTGGACAAGAATCGCAAATACCAGAAGATATACGGCTTCGGCGGTGCGTTCACCGATTCGGCCGGTTATATGTTGTCGTCGGTGGACCCGGCGTTGGCCGCCGCCGTCATCGACAGCTACTACTCGGCCACAGGTATTGAGTTCTCGTTCGGTAGGGTTCCCATCGGCGGCACTGATTATTCCCTCCGTCCCTACACTTACGCCGACGCCTATAATGATAAGCAATTGAAATACTTTTCGCTGCAAAAGGAGGACTTTGAATGGAAAGTATGTTTTGGTTTTTGTGTTAATATCTATTTATATTTTAATTATATTTTTAATTAAATGTGAATTAAAAGATGCCATATATAAAACGGGCGCAGAGTGTGTGTCCGCACACCCTTAAGCTGATAGCCAGCAACTGGTGTCCACCGGTTTGGATGAAACAAATTGAACAACACATCGGTTACAGTGAACTCAAAGGCGAGATCGGCGGTGAATATTATCAGATTTTGGCCAATTATATAGTCAAGTAAGAATATTGAACAACAAATATACAGTATTTAGTTTTAGGTTTGTTAAGCAAAATAATAACAATTAATATTCATGTAGATTATTGTACCGTACCGGTACTACCGGTACTGTATATAAATACTTTATTATAATTGCATTTTATTTTAATTATTATTTTAAAATAAAAAAAATTTGTAGATTTTTGGACGCATACAAAGAGAACGGCATAACAATGTGGGGACTGACCACTCAGAATGAACCGGCTGAAGACCATCAGCTTAACAATATGCAAATGTCACCCGAATCGCTCAAACGTTTCATCGAGATCAATTTGGGCCCAACACTAGCGCAGGCGGGCTATAATAAAAACAAACTAAAATTAATGATCTTAGACGACAACACGGTTAGTTTGACCAATTGGACGGACACTGTCTTAACCGACAATAGTTTGCTGCAATACGTGTCCGGTATAGCCAACCATTGGTATTACAACGAGAGGTTGGGCACTAAGGCTGTGGGCGCTATACTAGAGTACGTGCGGCACAAACATCCCGACTATTTTGTCATTAATACGGAGGCGTGTGTTCTGGACGGCCCGGGCAATGGCAAGTGGTCCTACGCCGAGCGGTACGCCATCGACATAATCAATGTACGTCATCTCAATTACAAAATTTATTGACATCATATTTGTCATATATACAAATTTACTTATCTATGAATGGGTTTGCATTGCTTGTGAGGGTGTGGTTAATGATAATAATCACACGTCAATTCATATCGCGCTTAATAGGCAAACAAGGATAAAAAAAAGCGAATTAACAATACCCATAGACATGTCATTTATCATCCATGTTAAACTTATGTCATAGAATTTTCCAATAGGATTAGCATTGTCATAGACTTAACATTACCCATGTTAAACCTATGTCATAGACTTCAGCCATCAATACAGTAGTCCCATATGATTAACATTACTCATAGAATAACTTTAGCTACATTGTAAAGTATAGTTATAGACTTAAGCTGTAATCCCATGTTAAGCCCCATAAACCACATTATTTATATAAAGAATTGTGGCTAAAAATATTGACAAAATATAAACATGTTTAATAATGATTATGGTAAAAATATTAACAGCAATTGAACCACTGGGCTGTGGGTTGGATAGAGTGGAATCTGGCGCTGGACGTGACGGGCGGGCCCACATGGTTTGAACGCCAGGGTTGCGGTGGACCCGTCTATATTGACCCGCTTAAGGGCGAGGCCTACAAACAGCCCTCGTTTTACTCGTTGGGCCACTTCAGCAAATTTGTTTCGCCCGATTCCGTCCGCATCGGCCACGAGATAGTGAACGGCGCCGAAGGGGTACACGTGTTGACAGCCAAACGGCCCGACAATGGGGTGGTTGTGGTGGCACTCAATGCCGGCGATACCGACATTGAGCTCAATATAAATAACCAAAATAATTGGGTCGTCAATAAACTGCCCTCACATTCAATACAGTCTTATATCTGGCATTGAAACGACAGGTGCCTCCTATTATATAGTGTACTGTAAAATTATTGCCTTGATGTTTTTTGTACTATATGAGAATTAATTAAATTGTATATTTATTACTAGTATTTATTAATGTATATTTTCTACTCACAAATTATCTTAAAACTTTTAAAAAGCATTGATGATTAACATTGATAATTGAATAAATATTAATAATATTATATTATGCTTAAGTAAATAAAAATTATAAAAATACTGCAATTCTACAATGATTATCGTATAATCTATTAATAGTAATTGTAAATAAAAAACAACTTGGTTAATTTCTTATTTACTAAATCTCGTATGAAATACACGCGTGCAATATATTGCGGGTTCAAAGAGTAATGAATGGGGTTATAGTTTTGGGTGAACTCAACAAAAACAAACCTAATCTACAAATAAATACTAAACATAGTTATAAAAACATATAATTTTATATATTTTGCCACACTATCATTTATACTAGCTAATTTATACACTATTTATCATAATCAGTCAAAACCCTAACCGGTTGGGGCACTCACTCAGACTATAAATATGTAATTCAAATGCAATTAATAAAACACTTTTCTTAAAATCTATCTAACATTTCACTAGTTTTATAAGTTTTATATGTTTTATAAGTTATTAAAACTGTTTTAAATATTTAAAATGAAATACACAATAATTCAATACTTTCTATGCCTTATAATGTACTCAACGATAATGTTTTGTTTGACAACTCAATCATCAAATACCACGAAAAGCAAGACATCTTTGGTTAAAAGCAAAAAAACAATAAGATATGACTCTTTGGAAACGAAACAAGTGGTAAACAATGAATTTCCCGATAATAAGGTATGTTTTCATTAAATTTTAATGTGAAAAATCATTTAAAACTAATTATTTTGTTTTGTTTTGCGTTATTTCAGTCAAAGTACGGGTTTTTAACAAAGTTTTGGTTTCAAAATAATTGCAATTTGAACTCACTTTCAACGATTCATAACTAATGTAAACTACTCTACGATTAATTAGAATAGATTAATTGCAATAACATTTTAAATGTAAATAATTAAATACAATGATGTAATTTTGGTCTATGATTAGCATAGGAGACAGGATTCTGTCACTGTT